CGCCGAACAAGATCGTATTGGCCACGGGCACTATCTCGATCGAATTGAACACGATCGCGGTCGATTCCAACTGCATCTCCGGGGCTGCCTTGTCACGAAGGAGCTGCGTTGGCTTATTACTATCTGAAACTTTTCTAGTACTCCTCCTGCCATGCCAACGCCGTGCGACCTTCTGATTTTTGGCTTTGCGTTGATGTGTTGTGTTGCTTTCAGATTCGGCATCGCTGCAAAACATGGAAGGAGAGGGGAAGGCAAGTAAACGACGAGCAAGTAAGAATTCTGGGAGCATGGAACAATCTCCGAAAAAATTGAAGGGGACGCCGACTGCTGGGGTTGGGAGTCAGGAGGCACCGGGGTCTAAGCGGCAACGCACCCCAGTTCCGAGGGGTGCACCTTCCACGGGCACTCCGTCGACTCGTGTTCGGGGCTCTGGACCGGATAAGGCTGTGTTGATGACTGGTGGGCCTGCGGTACAGGAACGTGTGCATGGTCCGCAGCAGGGAAGATCTGTAGTGGAGGTTGTGCCCGGACGTAAACCGTCTGGTGAACGTAAACCGTCTGGCGAATGTAAACCGTCTGGTGAAACGACTGCCGCGGGTCGGCGAGACGATGTGCCCGTGGTTGACCACAAGGATAAGTTCTGGATGCTGGACTGGGTGGGGGAGATCGGAGAACCATCGAGTGGCCTTGTTCTATATGTCGTCATTAAAGAAAATATTGTGCCGGTTGGCGGCCTGGTGAGGTGGACTGGACAATATGCCGTCTGCAACGTCCGAGTTGACGATGGTCCTGAATGGAAGAGGGGAAAGAATACCGAGCATTAAACACGTTGCTCTTCGATGGGCCAAACACGCAGGGTTTGGAAAGTCGCTGGTTGATGTGTTCAACCCACCAGGGACAGCCGAAGTGAAGTTGCCTAACCTCGTTGACGTCCTCGGGTTTTTCGACAGTAATGTGATCGCGGGCGAAGAGCCGGTTGTGCATCCAGAAGACCGCATATTGGAGCCTAAATGCGTGCTTTCGAAAATCGTGGAGACAGGGCCTTCGATCACGATCCACGATACACCGCCTGGTCCGAAAGCTGGGCAGATTGGAGAAAAGGGTTCGTGCCGCTGACTGGTCGTACCGTCAATCTGCGATACGCCGCCTGGCCCGAAAGCTGGGCAGATTGGAGAGAAGGGTCCGTGTCGCGGACTGGTCGTACCGTCAGCCCCTATGAAGACCAGGCCAACGTCGACCAAAGCACCAGTTGCCTTGGGCAGCCGACCGCGCTATGTTGCGGCCACCAAGGGACCTCTCTCCCTTGGTGGGCCAGCAGCGCTATGACTACGCTGTGCCAAGCCGCGCAGAGGAAGACCATGAGTATTTTGAAGATGAGGATGATGAGAACAGCGAGGAATATTCGGAACGACCAGGAGGACAGGAACAGTATGCTGCGGGTGTCGGCGGCATGACAAGGCATCCAGGAGAGACAAGTAAAGTGGTTGGACAGGATGAAGACAGTGAGCACACTATGAGCGAATTGGGTGGGGAGGTTGGTCTTGCAGGAGGATATGGGAGCAACTACGAAGGATGTGAGGGGGATGTGCATCCGACACGAGGGGGGGTGCACCACGCGACAGTGGCTGTGGCTGGGCATACGGATGCTGCAGGGCTCGCTGAGCGAAAGAGGAAGTACAGGCAAGAGAGGAAAAGTCTTATGGATAGTAAACGGAGTAGGCAAGAAGCGGGTGAAAAAAAACAAGTGAAAATATTGCCCGTGGATGAGGCGGTCCAGCGAACACGGGAGACTGAGGCGGCCACGAAGAAAAAGCAGCAGCCAAAGAAAAGAAAGACAAAAGGTGGTGTCATGGAAAAGATTTCCGTTTTTCCAGCGGAACAACCACAATCGGATGAAGAGGCCAAAGGCAAGACAATTACTAGGCCGCCAAGTTTGCGAAATGTGTCATTGGTGACTTCTTCTGGTGTTCTCAGCAAAGGCTTCTTCCTTGAGTTGGACGAGCGTGGGAACCAATGTCCAGACATGGAATTCATTTCTGTTTAGTTCGACAAAATTTTGGATATCCCAGACGGGGAATTCAGATACAATCAACGCTATCTTGTGCAGCAGACAATTGATGACATTTATGACGCAATGGTTGCATCGGGTGAGGCTGCTATCAGAGAGAGAACGACTGGAGCTGCCGGTGTGAATGTTTGTACATTGTATGAGAAGCCTGTCCTTTTGTTGGTTGCCCTCCGTGATACATTGCATACTGACGCTTTAGGGAGGATTGTGAGAGCAAGGAGGGTGTTGCTCGATGAATTCGACCTCGAATCTGTGAATAAGTACTACTACTACCCTCTCAGCGGTCAGCATAACGTGGCGGCGGCAAGAAGGTGTTTGTTGAATGCCCTGACATCGCACACGAGCTCCGATTGGATCGCTGGACAGCGAGGCCTGTTTATTATCCGAATAAGAGCATGGACAATTACAGCACGCTCAACACTTTTCAGAACGCCAAGGACAAATGGAATACCCCACCGCACTAGATCGTGGTCATCCAGAACATACGGAAGTTGTGGCACGAGTCGAACTGTCCTGAAGCTAAAGGCGGCTCAGCGGCGGAAGTGAAAAATGCAGATTATAGAAAGTTTGCAGGAGAGGCTCTTCGTTTGACCGAGATTTGTAATTTGGTTGACATGTCCCTTACTACTCAATGAAGCGGCCAGTGGTCTGACGCCCTCAGGCCCTACATGTTGTTGGCAAGGGTGACAGATGACGTTTTCGAAAAGGTGAAACAAGTGTACGCCGCTTGGGAAGCTGGACAATTGTCGGGGAGAGATGTTGTGAAGCCTGCTACCAAACAAGGTGAATCAAGAAAGGCACCGAGGGTTGGACCCGGATTTGAGTTGAAAGGTGGAGTTAGGTATTCGGTTCACTGGGTTCGGGGTACCAAAGGACCTGGTTACCTCGTGGCTGTGCACGATCCGGATATCAGAGTGTGGAAGTCTTTTTCAGCGCTTGGGAGGCGTGAGCGGCTTCGACTGTTGCGAGACTTTCTCACTGGCAATGTAATACTGACTCCTAAGCAAAGTGGAGTTGCTCAACGTACCGGGAAACATTCAACGGAGACATACGTGGAAATGGTGAAGATTGAAAGAGCAATGTTGAAGATGTTTCACTACTTCGTCTTCATTTCTGACCCTCACAGGAAGTCGTCAGAGTGGACCGAACCATTCTTCAACAACCTTTCCGATTTGTTTGATAAGTACTGTGATGAAGGATTGACGTCCGAGAGGAGGATCGACCAGCGTCGCCATTTCAAAGACATGAATTGGGTGCGAACGTTCCCAGCTACACTTGAAGGAGAGGAGGAAAAAGGAGAAGAGGGCTTCAAGAAAACAGCGTCACTTGCTGCGAAGTGCCCCGAAGAGTTCGTGCAGTTTGTCAACAAGCTGCTGTGCAGATCCGAAACCAGGTGTTCGGAAAACATAAGAATGTCGGGCTCGGCGCAATATATATATTTCAAAAGACAGAACGTGCACTCTGTTTTCATCCCATTGCAATGGGAACCAAGCGATATTTCAGACGAGATGGATTCCAAGAAAATATATAGAGTCGTCAAACATCTGAGTTACCACACGGCCGTGCTGGATTTGTGTCACCCAACCCAGATAGGGGTGTGGACTGAAGAAGTCTTTGATGGTCTGCGGAAGTTCATGGGAAAACTGGTTGGTGATTATTGGACATTATTGTGCTTCGTTCCGAGATCTTGCGAGTATACATTTTTCAAGCGAGTTACAAGTTGGGAGATTGACATTCACTTGTCTATTCTAAAGTGGACTTGTCAGCAACAAACGAAGGCGAAGCATTTATATAAGGTTGTGAACTTGCCTTTCGAGGACACAGACAAAATGGTTGTCATCATGTACTCCAACGATGGGGATTATCACCGCAACACTATTCCCTTGCTTGAAGACATTCCAGCAAGCACTCCAACTGCAGATCGATCATCTGGCGAGCAGGCGGGTGACTTATCAGCACTTGTGCGCAGAGAGAGAAGGCCAAAGATGTTGGCTGATGTCGTGGAGAAGAACTTCACGCCCACGAAGTTGAAAATGGCAGGTATGGAGCCAAGGGAGAAATTTGCGTACGAAGGTATGGAAAGGGAGCCAAATGCGATGGTGGAGACATTGGAGCATTTTTGTCCTACGGATGAGGCGGTCGTTTCCTGGGAAAAGGTCACGCGGCGTTGATTTGGGAGTTGTTAAAGAGTCACCGTCATTGCATTGTTCTGGAAGGGGAGGGTATGAAGTTCAAGTTTCTCATTCAATTCGTCACTAAGATGGTCAAGAGTGGAGCTTACTTTGCCAACTTTGTTAAGCCGCCTCCTCGACATGATGAAAAGCGTGATCTCGTCTACAAAGTCGGTCAAAACATCATCAACATTTGGGAGTTCCTTTTCGAGACTAAGCCACAAAACAGAGGGACACGTGCATATGTCGCCAGAAGGCGAAAAATGAAATCACTTCTGATGGGGTATCATAAGGCACCGGTGGAGACGGAAGTTGCATTTCTAGACCGTTTGGAGATGATGTACTTCTACGAACACATCGGGGCGTTTACAATCGCAGCTTATGCAACTTGTTTTGGGGAGGGCTTCGATGCTGAGGACTCAGAGGAAGAAAGTGAAGATCGTACTTTGCAAGCGGCTTTGACAGAGGAGAGGCAAAAAGCTTGTAGCTCCGCTTCGCAGAAGATGGGTGCACCGGGTACATCGTCCGGTTCTGGTGGGGGCTTCGAGTATGGGAGTTACAACGAACCAGTTACATGGCAGGCAACACAACAACGCTATCTTCTGGCGCAGTTCGGGATGGTCCGAGGGTACAGGCAATGCTCTCCCCAGAGGTTATGGCAAGTCTGTCAGCACTTGCACATAGCCCGACTACTGTTTTGGAATTGCTACGCTCTCAAACTCCTATGAGTCAACAACCTCCGTCTGCGCCTTTGGAGTACGAGATTGAAGACATCATCCCTCCGGACATTGCACGGCTTCCTTGACCTATTGTGTGCCGAGACGATTATACGGTGATGCCTGACAACGTACGGGGTCATCATATTATATGGCACCCCCACCACTTCCAACCTGCATTGGCGAGAGGGAACTGGGTAATGGCTATAAAAGAAGAAGGGGAGTGGCAATTTTGCCTCCACAGACGTATGTCACGATCCAAGTTTGTCACACACGCCAGAAATGAGATTGGCAAGCGACTACTGGGACTTAATCCGAAGGTTTCTCAATCAAGGCTGGATGCAAGGACAGAAGAAATTTTTCAGGAGTTCAAAGCATCTCGATGGCTTGAGTATCTGGAAGAGTTCTATGATCGAGAAACAAGTCCAGCTTTTGGATATAATTGGCGTATCGAAGAGGAACTTCAAGACAAAGTTGGGGAAAGGAAAGGAGCGAGCGGCGATGAGAGTGGCAAGGGATCAAGATCAGGCGGCGGTGCGCTTGGCAAGGGAACAAGATCAAGCGGTGGTGAACATGGCAAGGGATCGGAACCAAGGGGCGGTGCCAAAGGCAAGGGCCTGGGATCAAGCGTCGGTGCAAGTGGAAAGCCAATAAGTCATGGTGAACTGCAAAAACACGAAATGTGTCAAGGGCGTCAAGCAACAGAGGGAAAGGTATCAGGACCGAGCGGCGGTGCACATGACAAGGGATCGGGTTCGCCTTTGGGATTAGGACCAAGCAGCGGTGCACATTGCAGGGGATCGGGTTCGCCTCTGGAATTAGGACCAAGCGGCGGTGCACATGGCAGGGGATCGAGAGGCGATGCAAGTGGCCAGGATTTGGGAGGAAGCGGCGGTGCAAGCGTCAAGGGCGTAAGTCATAGAGAACTGCCGAACTGTGTCGAGGATGTCCTTCCGGATGACCAAGTTTGGGCGACCACTGTGTTGGCGAGCGAGAGTGTTACTGCGCAAGTGGATAATATTGGTGCACTTGCAGAATTAGAGATGTCATCGTTGGATATGCCAGCTGAGAAAGATGAGCATGAAGTCTCTCTGGGCATGAAGGATAAAAGCGCGACTGCGGGTGCAAAGGAAACTGTCAATGTACAGGCCATCGAAGAGGATGAAGGACATATAGTACTAAGTACACGGGAGCAACATACGCTTGTACAGCCTGAACTTATGGTTTCAAAATCAGAAGCACAACAGTCTGCTAACCTCGTGATATCTATCAACGAATCTCCTTTTACACCATCGCATGATGCGATAGAAGGTCGTGTTGAAGACAAAGCGTTAGTGAGCCACCGAGGTGAGCACGTACTTATCTCTAAGGGAATATCTAATATTGTATGCGGATTAGGGGGTACATGCACTCATCTCATAGAAACTAATTTTTTGCCTAGGTTTGCAACAGTGCGCTTGGTCATGAGAAGAAATGAAGTAAAATATTGTGTATCTCTTATTTGCAATTATGTGGAAAATTGAACTTAAACTCATAATGTTTTGTCTTCTCAATCATTGTCGTTTTATATTGCTGAACATGCAGGGCGACGAAAAGAACTGTGAAAAACGACGCACGTACGTTCGCAAAGGCAGAGTGAGAAGAATATTATTCGTTATGGCTTGAAAGCCTTATCGACTTTGCCGTTATTGCCCAAAAAAGAGAGAAGAAGACTTACACCCATGACATTTCCATCTATGAAGCCAACTGCCCTAAGGATGTTTAAAGCTGTTGGAATAAGCCTCGGAGAAGGGAAGAAATTGCATCGCGAAGGTTGCAGTTTATCTATTCTGGATGACAACTCTGATAGTGAAACAGATAGACAACAAAAAACATGAACTCGGGTCTACGTCGTACATCACATAACGAAAAGTTCGTTTTTGTATGAAGTCTTAGTCGTTCCATTGTTGTTTATATGTGTGTTTGTATGCAGTTCATGACCCCTCGTTCCAGATTCCTTTAGCAACAAAACGCCTCACCGTAGAAGAAAAGGAGTATCTTGACATGATTACATGCAGCAGCGAAGACAATGAAGCATACTGCATTGTCGATTACAAGGGGAGCTGGAAGGTGGGAAAGAAAGACATCATGGTCGTCGTCGAGGATGAGAAATGGCTAAATGACGAAGTCGTCAATTTGTACCTGCTAGCCGTCTAGATCACTAATGATCACATCAAGGTTGATTCGGCATGTACAGAAGTGACAAGAGATAATGTTTCTTTTGTGTACATTTTCAATTCTTTTTTCTTCACTCGATTGTCACGTCCTTTGAGGTTTGAAACCGCATATTCTGAAGGGATGAAATGGGTGAAGGACACAAATCTTTTTTATTATGACTTAGTGATTATCCCTCTTCATTTTGAAAATCATTAGGCGTTAGCTTATGTCACCATAGACGGTCCGAACTGTAAATTCCACCTCATAGACTCTCTCCCTCGTGTTGACTATGTTTCAGTCCTTGAACGTTTGGAAGATTTTTTCGAAGCGGAGTTTCATCGACACAATCTTCGCGAAAGATATCATGTGGACGGGCCTACATCCTCCTTTGATACATCAGTAAATGAGATTCCTGCTCAAGAGGATCTTTGTAGTTGTTGTGTTTTTATGTTAGGTTTTGTATCTTTGCTTGCAAGAGGTCACTTCCCTCCATTTGCTTTCTCACAAGCCAATATTTCTGATATGAGGCTTAGAATAGCATTTGACATTTTGTCCATGGTTAGATAGGAAATTCAATGAGGTGCGACTAAAGCTACAGTCCGTAGTTAATATTTTGTTGATGAGATTGACATGTTTACTGAGTGCAAAAATTCGAGGTAAAAACTTGACATTGTATTATATTTTGAGCACAAGCAACATGGGAGCATGACTGTCACATTAATTTTTCCTGATTGTTTTGTCGTTCCTTCAACTTTGCATTGCTAAGCTTTGATATATGAACATTGTTTCGTCCTTATTTTGCTTTGTCGTTATTTCGATTTCTTGTTATTTTGCTTTGTCGTTATTTTGCTTTGTCGTTATTTCATCTATAATTTTCTCATTTCGTTCTGCCATTTTACAATTAAAAAAAAAAGTGAACATGAAAACAATTTCACTTATAACCTAGGTTGTTGGATCGGACGTCCGGGACCCCCCTGACCGTCCGAGATGTTCGACCAGACAGGGGCTTTGAAAAATCTGAAAAAAATATATGTTATGTGACATAACAATACACGCAACTTTTGCCTTGGAGTCATGTTCAAATTCGCAGTCAATCATGAGTTAAGAATCGAAAACCGAAAAAAAAAAAAAAATTACGAATTTTTTTTTTTTTTTTTCCCGGACGACGGGGGTACCGGACGTATGGGGGAGACGTCCGGGGGAGACGACCGGCCCCCGGAACATTGGTAACCTAGCTTATAACGAAAACACCGTTCTAGGTTATAGTAGAATAAAACTTTTTTATAAAAGTTTAATTAAAATATTTCATAAACTCGTCCAGACTTTCATTCCATCTTCAACAAATAGATATAGTTGGGGAAAAAAACTCATTTTTCGACGAACACTTGTAAAATAATTTGAAATTTTTAAATTGAAAAAATATTGGAGTGAAAAATTTTTAATATAAAGATTTTTTTTCTGATATAATATTTTGTCATCTTTCATTTCTCGTGGGATTTTTACTGTTGAACCAGTCTCTTTTACAATGAACCCAATCAGATGAGATGCTCACAAATATCGAGATACAAGTCTGTCACAACGCGACATCAATGTCTCCAAAATCATTCATGAAACCATACTCGTCACACACGTAGTCTCAAAATATCTCGAAACCCGAAAAGAGAATAAAAAAATGGGGAGATGAGATGGAGAGAAGGAGGAGGAGAGTTCCCACATGAAATAACGAAGCAGGATATCACTCGAGTCCTCTTTCTCCTCGAGTATTCCTTCACCAACTCGTCATGTCAGCAATACAACTTTTCTCTAACAATCTATGACATATACAAGGCGCCCATCCTCTTGCCACTTCAGCAGTAGCCAGGGAGGATGGTGCAAATCTCCTTCTCGAAGATGAACAGCAAAGCACAGGTGTCGTCACAGGTACGTCCATGTAAGCTTCTACTTCTCCTTCATACCAATCTCACAAACTAGATTTTTCTCCTCTTCGCTCTCAATCCTGCTAGTGTCACAATCAATGTGGCTATGGACAAGTCAGCATAATCACTCACAAGGCTGGCGCCGCACACAGAAAATAGAACCGACATGAAGCTTTTCGCAGTCTTGTATCATCGCACAAGCGTCAAACCAGCGTTAAGAAGAACGCACAAGATAGAATGATCTCAAGCAGGGGTTGGGTCAACTTATAATGCTGACTTACGTTGACTGGCCTCTGGTCTCCTGGGTACGAAGGTGCAAATCTGTCGGCAACCAATGGCTTAAATATCAATTAGTTAAGGATTTCTCATGTATCCCGTTTCGACAAGATTTGTCTGGAAACATGCAGACAACCAGTGATGTGTATCAGATCTTATGACCGAGGTTGACCAGTGGGTTGACTTTGAGTTCTGAGCATGGGTTTCGGAACTGGGGTTTACCATTGATTTTGTTAGCGTCAACTTCTTCACGTAGGACTTTTGAAGGCTTGTTTTGACCTTATCCTAGGTCCCTCATGGCATCAGGCTTTCGTCACGGCGTTAGTCGGACTTAGGTCGTGCCTTTAGACCCTTGTTTCAGGCCTTTGACAAAAAGTGACGCCCCCACAACCCAAGGCTAATGCAGATTTAAGTTTAGTTATTGCCTTCCATCCGACCCAATTTCGAGTTTCATCGCAGAAAGAAGTGTCGTTTAGACTCAACTTTCCCTTAACCCACGCTCATACGCTGCGACAATGTCAGGTGCACTAGGTAAAAGTTATTTCTTACGAAACCATCGGGATTTTGATTCAGGTTGGGTTTTCAATTTTAGTATCTGTGTGAAGGTAACCCATAAGCAGAGCAAAGTCAACACACATGCATAACACGTGCAGTGACAAATGGACGTAATGTGAAGCTCAAAAGATAATACGGTAACGTACCACATTCCACATCCCCATGATCCTCCGTAACTTTCCAGACAACCCTGCGTTCACTACAGCTTACGCCAACTTAGCGTTCGCGGCTAACCGTCGGCGCTAATTTAGCGCAAGTCGATAGTGAGCGTCCATAAAAGAACTAAAGAGTCTCACTAATCCATCTTATAGTAGTATCCTACTCTCTCTCGAGGACTCAGAGTAGGTCCCGGGTTCGAAACCCAGGGCACGGATCACCCATCCAAGTAAGTGGTAATCTGGTCCTCACTGTATCGCCAACCCGACGGTACCAGGATCCGTCCGAGCTCCGGTCCTTGCGCCAATATTACAGGCCATGTCCACTTCGAAGGTACATACTTACTCAAAAAATCAAAAAAAACAAAGTACCGGGTTCAAAAACCCAGTGCGCCTATGAGACCAAATACCACAATCTTAGAGAACATGCTGTCGGCCCAACAACCCTATCCAATCTCATTCAATTACTGGTTCATCTACACAACCCCACATCCCGCATTCTACCAAATCATTACAAATCCCTGTTCAAATGTCTGCTCGAACTTCTCTCGTAGTACACGAATAACAACAGCAACTTACTCTGACTGTGGTCATTCAAACAAGAGGAGGGTATGCTTCCATATGCCCCCCTACGGCAGGCAAACCGCTTCAAGTTCCTTCTGAATGCTTGCATGGGAAAATCCTTTAGTCTCAATTCCCTGCTCAAGGATAATACACGTGTAGGTATCTTGCTGCGGATCGACGTGTTCTGGTCGATACGGTGAAGGTAGCTACTGATGATAGCGTTTTTTTGTTGCTTGCTCCCCCATGACCTATATGACTGACCATTCTCAATCTCTAAATCCCCTGTCGTCCACATGCTCCGCCTCTTCCGCGACATCTGAATGCTTCCGAGGTAAGGAAATGTATCCTTGCATCTCACCTCACAACCCAAAAATTCCCAAACCCCATTACCTTTATCTGTACGCTTGAGGCTCAGATTCTTAGGGTAGCATTGACAGAAAAGCCCCCATACCCATGCCAAAACTTCTCCAGACAGCGAAGCCGTAACTAGTACCACATCATCTACCAACCGGACACCAAATACCTAGCGCGCGTACTTCCCCAAGCTCCTTAAAAACATTGCCTCCAAAATAGGCACATAATATGCATGCTAGGGGCGGACTGGTGGTCTTCCCCATAGGGATGCCCACATCCTGTCTCAGAAGCATGCCAGTCGCATAGGTATACGTGTGCTTCAATTCGAGACGCACAAACCTCACAATGTCACCAAGATATAGCAACCTCCAATGATCACTCCCAGTGGTCATCCTGAAAGAGGAGCCTTTCCCCTTCGGATTCGTTCTAAAAAACCCACGCCCTTTCGTCTGATGGAAGTCAACAAGCCAGTCGACTGCCCTCAAAATATCCTTATGAGGCAGTCAACTGAACATGTCCTTAATATCGAAGGACTGTGCTGTAATGTCTGCCGGGCGTTTGAGACGCTGGATCCTCGAATTGATCCTATCAAGTCTAGTAGTCAATTGGGAGACAGCTGACAAATTAAAATGTGCATCCCTCGGTAACCTTTCCAGCAAAAAATTCAGAGACTTGGAAACGACTCGACCCATGCGTACCATTGGTTCCATATAAGTAGGACATATCGGACGATAACGAGTTAGATCCTTGTGCTTAGGTATCAGGTACGCTGACCCAAACCTCCCGCTCTTGTCCCACCTGACAAACTTTCCCATTCCACACGTAATCACATCCTCCCAAACCTCCCTTAGCACTACCTTCTCCGGTGATTTGATGATCGTATAGCCAGAGTTGACCACGAAGGTTTGCATCATAGCTTCATAGTAAGTCTTTGGACACATAACAACTGTCTCCCCTGGGTTACGGTCAAGCGGGGTGAGCACAAGTCCATCATATTTCCCACGCACCTCACACACCTCCTCAACTGTCAAATGTTCCGGTTGATCCTTGCTCTCCACAAAGCAACACGTCAGCATGTCATTACCGATCGCTAGTAATTTCCCACGCCAATTCTTCCAACCCCTGAAACCTATCTGGATCTTCGATCTCAAACTCCCCAATCGATCAGTCGTTCTGACCTTCGGTATATTGTTAGCGTTAGCCAACAACGGATTGTCGACCATTTCTTTGCTTAGTCGAAAATGCACGTGCCCATCCACTCTCGGATAGGGTAACCCTGCACAATGACAGGTCAGCATATGTCGAGCAGCAAATGCTCGGTGATTGTGCAACAACTCACCGACTGTTCGATTCTTCTCCCAAACGATCTGAGTTTTCTTACGCGCACGTTTCAAAAAGCAATTAGGTAGGTCACAACTCATCAACAAATCATTAATTATCTTGCGGAGTTCACACAACTTAATCCTATCATCGTACTTAATTCTAACCAACAGGTCTGCGCTAAGGTTTATACCGTACTTATCCTTAAAGACCCTCGATAACAATCTGTGAAGGTATTTTCTCGTCGATTTTTTTGTAAAATCCTTGATAACAGCGTACAGTCGTAGCATCGAACGCATACCCCAACCATAGATCTCGTTCAGTCTGTTCGGGTTCTTCAAAATCGAGACCAATAATCCCTTCAGGAATCTGCATCTCAGTTTCCACGATCGTATATATTCCACACCGAACTTCCCTCCTCCTTCCAACTTACCTTTACAATTCTTCAGCTCGGTGGTTATCCCGTCATAACTCACCTTCGTAGATCCAAAGGCCCTAGAGATCTTCCTCCACGGGGTCTGCCAAATGTTACCCCCGCAGGAGTGGATCTCGAGCGTTTTGGTCCCACGATCCTCATGATCCTTCAGGATTGAATAGAGGTCTAGGCGCCACTCCACTTCCTTATCAACTCGGAAACGTACAGGTGCGATTACCCGACATAACAACTCCTCATGCGCTACCACCTTAGCCCTCTCCCTCCTCCCTCTCTTACACTTAGTGCGTGTACACCTTGTCTGCTTCTTCACTCCCGCAGTGTTGAGGGCAGGCGACCACTGTCGAATATATACACATTCAAGCTTACCCAACTCATCACTCGTAATCGAGTCAACTGGAACTAGCACGTACTTGTCAGTTCCAAAGGAGCCCAGCCATCTGTAAAAATGATTAGGACTACGATTGCGACAAGCATACAGATGCTCCTTCCAGCGTACGTCCACATGCCTCGTCGTCTTCCCAACATACTGTGATTTACAAAAGGGGGAGACGGCCACAGACACGCAGTTCGAAATATTCACAAAGTCAGGACTGTACTGTTCAAAAAGTCGTAACCACACACTCACACATTTTCGATTCCAACGTAACGCGCCAGACACCAATAGACGTACGACAGCTAAGCATAACAACTCCTCAACTCCCGTGTCCACACAAGAGTTCGCAGCTCTCCATCTAACAAGACAATGGACGATCTTCCAAAGGTCAGTTACACAGAAACCACCTCACACTGTAACTTCAGCATCCGTCACTTCGACGGCGGGAACCTTCTCCCCACCCTGGGGTAACTCCTCACACTCTTCGTCAGTCCCGTATGCCATAGGGGTACGCTGAGCTGCAATATCAAATATCACTTCAAACTTACCGTTATACGGGATGCCCTCCTCCTTGCACACATTCTGCAACACCAACACATCCAAACTTTTTAACTCCTGCATCACCTGCTTTTCGAACTTCAGGCGCCCGACGACCCCAATGGATGCAGGTAACTTCTTCTTACGAATTGATGCGGGAGTCTTCCTCGGAGTAGGAGTCTTCTTTGCGGCCTTAAACTTCGTGCGCGTGAATCGTGTAGTCAGATTAACGGGTCCCGTCTTCCTCGGTGTTCTTTTCGGAGGTAGCTCCATAGGTGGGCTTCCTTCGAACACCGATTCTTCACCCCGTTTTCTCTTCTCGCTGATGCATAATGTTTCGAGTCTTCGCACTCAGTTCCTCGGTGTCACTACTACTCGCGCTACTTGCCGAACTCAGAGGTATAAGGCTCATCACTTTTTGCTTTCCTTTTGCCAAGGCCACCACCAATTCGCTGATCGCCTCCCGGATCTCATGTTTCCCATCCTCCCGCACGTCCTTTCGCAATTCACCTACCCGCACAACGATCCTCATGTCCAGCTTCTTGTTCATCGCCTCTGTCATCCCTGCCTCCTTTCTGTTCTTCTCCTTCTTCTTCTTCTTCTTGAGCCCGATCTCGCGTAACCTTCAGCTCAGCTGCTTCCTTCTTCTCTGCTCGTTTGCGTTCCTTTGCCGCCTTCTTCTGTTGCTCATTCTGCACGTATTGGCACACCGCTGCGATACTTTTTCCAATCTCCGCAACCTTCGTCTGTAGATGGTCCTGCGTCGGGGCATAGCGGTAAGAACCTTGCTCTTGCCTCCTTGGTGATGACGACCGAGCACGTCTCAAATCCATGGAGCTAGACGGGCCGTATCTCGTATTCCTGCGCGGATGTGGGCATTGACTGGCGTAGTGCCCAACCTCGTCGCAATTGTAGCACGTCACCGGTCCTCGTCTGGGTCCTCGGTTATATCTGCGTCGATCTCCCACATAGTCCCGTTGTTCACGGTGGTCGCTACCATAACCAAGCTGGTCACCGTGGTCACCACCCCGCTGATCGCCATAGTTCGACATATCACCTAACCTTCGTCAACGTATCTTGAAAGCTCCGTAGTCGTCGCCACGTTGGTCTCCGCACTCGTCACACCTCCGTCCTGGTGAACGCTGCTCAAACTTCAAAATCTCGTAACTCGAAAACGTGCTCACTTATCTCAGCAACTTGACTCCGAGACAATTCGCACGCGAAATTCACAGTATCTGTATGAAGGTAACTCATAAGCAGAGCAAGGTCAACACACATGCATAACACGTGCAGTGATAAATGGACGTAATGTGAAGCTCAAAAGATAATACGGTAACGTACAACATTCCACATCCCCATGATCCTCCGTAACTTTCCAGACAACCATGCGTTCACTACAGCTTACGCCAACTTAGCGTTCGCGGCTAACCGCCAGCGCTAATTTAGCGCAAGTTGATAGTGAGCGTCCGTAAAAGAACTAAAGAGTCTCATTAATCCATCGTATAGTAGTATCCTATTCTCTCTCGAGGACTCAGAGTAGGTCCCAGGTTCGAAACCCAAGGCACGGATCACCCATCCAAGTATGTGGCAATCTGGTCCTCACTGTATCGCCAACCCGACGGTACCAGGATCCGTCCGAGCTCCGTTCCTTGAATTTTACCTTGTATTGCTTTTGTGGTCTTTCTCTGTTGCATATGGAGAAGTACCCATGTTCTAGTATTTTTTCGGCTTCGAATCCTCCGTCCATAGAGGACAAAAACATGGATGGCCGGTTCGAAAAATTGTGGCCTTCTACACACGGTAGCAGTTTAGAAGCATGCAAGATAATATAGGTCAATAGTTGTGGGGGTACATCAATTTTGTATTATGGTTCATATGTGTCCCCTATCACCTTGAGAACTTTTCAGGGTCCGTAATAGATAGTTAGTAATTTTTGTGATACATTTTCTTCAAGGGAGAATTCATTGGACCTTACCCAAACCAAGTCTCCTTCTTTGAAATGAGATGGTCGACGATGTTTTTTTGCTTACTCAATCATTCAGATTTGAACGTTCTTTATATTTTCCTTTACTTCAGCAATACCTTGTTCATACAAAATTACAAATTCTCTCGTACTTTGTGGTAGCGGTGAGACTTGTTCTTTGGTAAAATAATTAATAAGTTGTTTTGACTACCAACCTTTATGTAGTGCGTTCGGTGCCCTACCTGAAACAGTGTGAGCACCATTGTTGTATGCATTGACAATTTTGGGTGAGTTTTCATCCCAATGATTTTGTCTAAGATGAACATATATGCACAAAATCAGTTGGCACAATCGGTTTATTTTTTCAATTTAACCATTCGTTTCAGGGTGTGTACTTGACGACATGGTCAACCTTGTGCCCTAGGCTTCGAACAGTTTTTGTCATTGTTTGCAAGTGAACTGTACATCCTATCCGAGACAATTGTTTTCATAAATTGGTACTCAACAACTCATCGCATCTGAAACTTCTGGATGATGAGTTTTGTTCTGGCTTCAAGTGGTAAAAGAATGAGCATCGCATATTTGGAGTACCTATCAGCAATCACTATTGCTTGATTGTTTTCATTCCGACTCTAGGTGAGATTCATAAACTCCAGGGAAATTGACTTACCTGGGTCATTTTGAATAGGAAGCGATTTAAGCAGTCTCACATAGCTTAGAATATCTTCCTTCCCTCCTTGCTATTCAAAAGCTCACGTGCGTTAGCAAACATTGGATTAAATCTGAAGTGACCCTCAATGTCATGACATTCCCCAATAATAAAACTTTTGATTTCTTCTTTGTAAGGAATGTAGATTTTCTCTTCGGTATTATTGATAAAGAAGGTTATGCCATTAGACATGCGATACTTAAGAAAAAAATTAGGATTTTTCAGAAGGGTTTGAATAGTAGAAGTCCAGATAGGATCCCCAGCATACCCTTGGCGAATCTGATTTCTTAACTCAATCCCAATGTCTAGGTAGGTAACAATAGCGCTCAAGAAATTTGACCGTCTAGACAATGCATCATCGACGACATAAACCTTCCCTTTTACAATTTTGAATACAAAGTTGAGGGTGTCGATGAATGCAGACCATCTTACCAAGTAGTGCTTCCAAGTGTTCAACACTTCAACTAACGCATACAACTCTTTTTCATAAGTGAAGTTAGCTACCTTATCTGGCAGTGGACGTTTAGACATAAACTTCACGGGTGTATAGCCTTTCTCATCATCTTGTTGTAGAACGACCTCAATCTCATACTAACTAGCATCCATCGTGACAATGAAAGGTAGAGACAAATCATCAATGTTCAAGACAGGTTAGTTAGCACATACTTAAGTTTTTTGAATGTCGACTCGCAACCTTTGTCCCATAACCAAGATTTCTCTCGTAGGTGTAACTATAAGGGAAAATTTTCTTAAGAACTTCCTATAATACCTAGCAAGTCCTAGAAAGGATCGCAACTCAGTGACTGTCTTGGGTTTGGGTCAATCCGTAATCCTTATAATCTTGTTCCTTTCGGGCCTTAGTCCTCCTTCATTTATTATATTTCCAAGATAAAGTACCTCAGACTTATTAGAATTTAGTCTATAGTTACCTTCTCTTAATTTTGCTAGAACCATTCGTTAGTGTTTCTCATAATCCTCCAAAATCTTTCTGTAGACGAGAATGTCGTCGAGATAAACAACTACGGACTGGTCAAAACACTACGGAAACAGTTCATTTATTGGATCGTTGGAAGGTCGTTGGTGCGTTAGTTAGGCCAAAGTGCAGTACCACAAATTCATACTGCCCATAATTTATCTAAAATACCGTTTTGTGTTGATCTTCTATACCACCTCGACCAGGTGGTTGCTAGACTTCAGATCAATCTTGCTCAAGTACCTGCAACTGATTGAAAAATTAATTGATTTGAGGAAGGGGTTCCATGTTCTTTACAGGTACGAAATTCAATACTTTGTAGTCCGAACACAGTCACAATCTACGTCCTCCTTTTTTTTGGGGTACGAAAAATACAAGGGCGTCGTAGGGATTAAAACTTTATTAATCCATTATTTTTTGGTACGTTCCTGCAGTTGTTTTTTTAGTTCTTCCAATTCCCTTCGAGACATACTGTAAATCGGTCCTTTAAGAATTTCACTTCTGGGAGTGATTTCAATGGTGCGCTTAATAACATGCCTAGTTACTCTCGTTGGTTCGAGATGCAAGTCATTATATTCATTAAGTAATTTTTCGATAGAAGGAGGATAGAACGAAGAGCAACCACCCACATTCTTGACAAGTACCATCATTTCATCGTGTACCAACTTTTTTTTCATTACCATGCTTCGAAAAGTAGGGAGAGTCATACAGAAAAATGATAGTGATGAGTCCGAACCGGATTTGTGAAACAACAACTTAACTATTTTCATTTCATATTTTTCATCTTTTAGTTTGACAATCTCATCTTTGAGTCTTACTTGTGGCCCGAGGTCGGCTTCCTCGTGCCAATTCATAGTCATAATTAAATTAGAAGGTATTTTTTTCTCGACAAGGAAGGTTACCTCGTGCAATATTCGCTTACCTTCCTTTGTACGAAAATACCACTCAACGCGATCGACATACTGAGTCACAGTTATGTTGCTTCGAACGACTAATATAGACGACGTATTAGACGTGATACGTCGTGGTAGGCCTGAACTCTCATCCCTAAGTGCAACCTTCAAATTGTTTAGAGATATAGGACCGCGTTGACCCATGATCCAACAAAACACCGACTTATGTTCGCGCTATCTCCACATTCGTAATCATTAATTACCCCTTAGTTCTTACTTTCTTAGCCCATAAATTTCGCAAGGCAATCAATTCACAACCAAGTTCATCAAGATCACCTAGTGAGATAGAACATAAAACGTTTTCAGGGTGGTCTGGGTGACGGGCCAAATAAAAATCGTCCTTTGCCATGTGAGCTGGAGGGTTGAAAGCGATTTATGACGCCGTACCTTTATCCAAACCTTCCAGCTCGGTAGGAGCAAATGCTACTTCTACTGGCTGCTCCCTTTTGAGTTCCGGATCAAGGGACACCATGTGATACTGTGTCCCTCAGTCTCGCATTTCAATAATCGGTTATCCAATCTTTCCTGCCATTCTTTATGAGAAATACTCATTTTCTCCTAAGGTCGGCCATAAGCGATTTCAGGATGTTTGGGGAGGGAGTGTAGCCTCTTCTTCTTAAATCCTTCATTGTTGGTGTCTTCCTTGTTGGCCACCATAGTGGTAACGATACCCTTTCATGACTCATTTCCACCACTAGTTTCAGCCTCAGTTTCTTCGAGGGGCCATCTTTCCATGGTCTTATCATCGAATATGATAAGAGTGTGATCATGTTGTTTCTGCCTCCACAAGACTCGTTTTCGGTTCCTGAACCCACGTGATGGTTCACCCTTTACAATGCCCGCATACATGGCTTTTACCTATGTGATCATTTGTTCTCTCGAGAGATCGAGGTCTCATAATTGTCGATAGTTGTATTTGGATGACTTAGCTTCTGCCGCAAGTTGTCCAAAGTATGGGTTCAAGCAATGTGCGGGAGTAGATATACAGTACCTGGTTGTTCTGTAGGTCCAGCCTGGGTAACCTACAAAAGACGGTCCATGCCATGCAACAAGGTCGCGACACTACACCAAAGTTTCTGTTCAATGCTGGTGAGCTCATCAAAAGCCTTGTCGACCGTGATTTTGCCCAAGAACCTCTCCTTAATGTTATGGCGAAATTTGCATAGCGCCATCGTTTTGACCTACTTACCAATGTCTTCAAACCTAGCAGCGTTGGCCTAAGACAAAACATATTCCTTAGCTACTTCTCTCAGATAAAAAGTGGAGAAGGCTACTTGGCTATCTTCAACCACGAGACTGGTCCCACAGTAAGTCTGAATTTTGTCAGTCCATAGCAACACATGTTCTCCCTTCTCTCTATTGTAGGCAAATGATAACTTCATTTTTACCTTCTCTTTCTTTTTCGACTTCTCCCCTTTTTCTTCTTCCTTGGAGGGTTCCTTTTTAGAAGGTTCGGGTTCTTTGGGGTCACATGAGTTAATGACATCCTTCATCAATTTCTCTTGAGGTTTTTTCTTTTCCTTTTCTCCCTCTTCTTGCTTCACCCTGTTCTTGCCTTTCACTAATCTAGTCACCGCCTAAAAGT